GATGTTCCGTTTGTTTTCCTTAAAATTCTGCCAGCATCTGCTGTTAAGACCTCAGCTAGGGCAACTTGGCATTTTCTGTATTCCCAGACTGCTTAGACAACTACCCTTGCAACCATGCCTTACCTCAAATTATGAGATCTTATACCCTACAGATATGACATACTGACCTTCAGCCTCTGAATACAGTGCTGGTGGTAGGACATAGTAGTATGTGTCCTCAGATAAGAAAATACATTTTTATTAATACAGTAAGAGGCACTGATGAAAATGTGAGCTTCATGTTCAATTGAAAGAAGTGTTAACATCCTAGGGGCAACATTTTGAAGAATAATTGTACAGAACCCATAACTGGTACCACATTAATTAATAGAACTTCAGATTTAATAAAGGTGTTCTTCCTTGCTTGGGAAATCAATCTGTCATTAGTTCAGATGCTTCCTACTTTACCTGGCCTGAGTTAAGAAAGCAATCACTAACATAAGGTGAACGCATGTCCAAATCCCATTGCTGACATTTATAAGCTATGGATAAGCATGTTGTGTTGACATCTGTACACCTCATTTTTCATCTGTAAATTGGGATCATAATAACACCCATCCCAGAGTTTGACATCTGCTGTCAACTGTCTTATTCTGCCTTACTCTCCCCCAAAAGCCTGTTTGTGAGTAATAAACGTGTTCATACCCTTTTGGTGCATGTGTGGCATCATCAGTTTCATGATTCAAAGCAAATTTGGGGTTGGAAGGTATCTACTGCACCTCTGTGGAGTTTTACCAGATATTGGCACAGTGAGCAGGTTGTCTAGTCAATGGCTGCCATCACGGTGTCTTTCGTCTCCTGGTTTGGCTCCCTCAGTGGCTCAGCTGCCTATGGAAAGGATTTACTTTGAGCTACCGTCTCCTGGAAAGCAATTTTAGACAGCAATTGTCCTGTTCCTGGACAGCAACTTCAGTTGTGCTGTTGTATTCTTCATTCGATGAATCTTACCAAACATCCTATAAGAAGCATAATTTGGAAATTTCTATAATTAGCTGTTGAGAGTAGAATTCTGGGATTAGAGACCTCCTCTAAATGAGCCTCGATCATGTGTCTCATTGCAAATGTATCTGTGTCATCTGTCTGGGTTGAACTTTACATTGTTTCACCATTTTAGCATAAGCCATGACTGGCACTAGGCTCAGGGAAATGACTCTCTTCAAAGCACCATTTGTGTATCACATTCAGCACTAGCCCAAATTCTATGGATCTCAATGGGGAAAAAAAGGCCCTGTGCAGCATGTGTCCATCAGATAGTCACTCCTTTGGCGAAGAGCAGTTACCATGTGGCTTGCTGACTTTACATTTCTAAAACATTCCTAAAAGCCCAGTAGGGTTATAATGCTGTTGCTACTGCCCATAACCCTGTTACCACAGACTTCCTGATCTTCAAGGTTGTAAGGAAAATACTTCTTCATGGGGCTCTCCTGGAATAAGAAAATAGTTCATTAATTCAAAGCTGACTTCAGAGTTAGGGTCTGGCCCCTAACTTTGATGATAATAGTTTGAGACTATGTGAAAGAAGAAATCAGTAAATATGTACAGAATAGAGTGGACTCTCTGAGGTATATATAGTGTCCCTTTAAAAACCTGGATACAAGGAGAAGAAACAAATAAAACATAGCAGAAAGAGAGGGCCAAAAGTTGACCCTATGGGAAATTCAGCATGTATTAAAATAATATACGCAAGACAAAGGTAATAGGTTGCTGATTGGATTTTGTAGCTCCAAATTCTTAATTAAGCTTAACATCTGCTAAGATGCATCAATTAGAGAAACTTAACCATCTCAGTCAGTATTGGCACTCAAAGTATAAATGTATCTGAGGAATTTCACTAATTTTAAACAAAGTACTTCCTGAAGTTTTAGGGCAGTTATCAAACACTAAAGAGAATGTGGAAGTATGCCTTATACTAAAGAAAACAATTGCTTTGTCTCAATGTTTCATAGTCATAATACACATTGCCCTAAAATATCAATAGTGGGCGTGGAGGATCTGACACAATGAATTTTTTAAAATTAAGTCTTTGGCACTTACAATCATATGATACAAAGACTCTATGAAGTCTCCCCATAAGTTGTAATAGGGCAGCCTATTATAAATTAAAACAAGAGATTTTAGTATTGAAGTTCATTATATCCTACTTACATAGAGAAGTGGTGATTATCCCCACTGTATTCCATTTAACAGCACAATTTTACCTGTTAAATTTGGAAAAATCAATGGCACCATATGCCAATATCCTAAACCTTAATGTCAAAGGCCCACTCATTAAAGCTTTGGTATTAATATTCTATGGCTGCTGTAACAAATTACCACAAACTTAGTAGCTTACAATTACACAAATGTACCATCTTAAATTTATGACAGTCAAAAATCTAACGTGGGTTTTATTGGGTCTAGGGAAAAATCCATTCCCTTCACTTTTCTAGTGTCTCTTTACTGCCCACATTCACTGGCTTCTGATTCTTACCACTTAAACTTATTCCTCTGTAGTCACATCTTCCTTCTTGAGTGTGATACAATGTAGACTAAACCTGTAAGCACCCACAGCATTAAAATAACTCTATCATTTAGCTGTGGATTTAGCTCAATGACACTGCGCCTGCCACGCAAGCACAAAGTCCTGAGTTTAATCTCTGGTACTGGAAAAAAACAAAACAAAAACAAACAAACAAAAAAACCTCTCCATTTTGTAGTAATTTGGGGATTTGGGAGGTAATATATTCCTCACCTTAAAAATATATGTATGCCATTTGTGCTGATATTTTCAAATAAACTCACCTAGTGTAGCGCTGCTTCCAATGCAAGGCCTTAGAATCTGCAAAATGGCAAAACAACTGACACTCCTATAACTGCTCCCAAAAGATAATTTTACTGTATCAGCATTCAGAACTTTCTTTTATACCCCCTGAAATCTCTGAACCATCTGTGATGGTCATCAGTTGCCTATGGTCAAACACAAGCACTGCCCTCCCTGGGTCTCATGCCATAAAGAGTGGTAACCGAAGGTCATAAATGACAACTGGAGTCTTGATATTGGGTCCTGAGCCTATGACTCTTTCTATGTAGTTGGCAGTTATCCTGTAGATTGTAGAAGCAGCAACACCCAACCTCGGCACAGTTACTTAAATTTCCTTTTTACAGGATGGAACCCAATCTGGCTTACCTGATTTGTCCTATCTTCAGGAAAGGGTAGCATTCTCTGCCCATAGTCTCTGTTGCCAAATGCAACAGTTCTAAAGGAATTTTAATTTAACAGGTAGACTCTTGGAATCAACGAAGACATGTAAAGGACCTTTAGTTGATAAAGGCCGGAACACATCTCAATGGTAAGAATAGCATCACTCCACTGAAAAGTGGTGGGAAGAATCACATACAGCATATACTTTTCCTTTACACCTTGATACACTAGAGGATTCTTTTGTATATTGGGGATCCCTCCTGAGAATACTGTCCCGGAAGTTCCAGAGTGGACAGAACAGTCTTGCTAGATGTGACAGTGAAGGAGCACCCCTCCTACCATAGACAACAGGATGGCCACGTGTATTTCACTGCCTGCTTTACACATTCTCTTTTTCCTCAGAAGGGAATCTAATTAGGAAGAGATGAAGAAAGAACTAATTGTGTAAAGGGCAGTGACGATGAGACTCAGGAAGCCATTCTCAGGGCAGACAGCTGCCATCTAAATTTTTCTTTTTTTTGCACCCTGATTAGCACTGCGCCACTGAGCTACATCCCCAGACTGAATATTGGCTATTCTTAAGATTAACATTCATGTAGGGATAAATGAAAATCGAATATGCATAAATATATAAAAAGCACTTAAATGTTTAATGGTTAGCTCCATGTTCTATGCTCCAGCCTATTATGGAGAAGACTTTATTTGGAGGCCATTTTAATTGTTGTGTTTTTGTATTTCTTTTTGTACCAGGGATCGAACTCAGGACCTTGAGCCTGTAAGGCAGGCATAGTGCCACTGAAACCACTGAGCTAAATCCACCCTTTTTTTTTTTGTTTTTTGGTACCAGGGTTTGAATTTGGGACCTTGCACTTGTAAGGCAGATGGTGGCAGCACAGAGCTAAATGTCCGGTCCTATTTTAATTGTGATCTAGGACCTCATATCCCCAAAGTTTGAGGCCAGCCCGGCAACTTAGCCCTGACCTGGAGAGACCCTGTTTGAAAACAAAAAATAAAAAGACCGGAGATGTAGTTCAGTGTGAAGGCTATGGATTCAACCACCAGTACCAGAGAAAAATGCAGGCATTCAGCACGTGGAGCAAGGCAATGCACTCCATGCCACTAGCCCAGCGTTAGCACCAGCGTCCCTGCTAATGACTCGGCAACAAGTGAGAGTCCCTCTACACATGCCCCACAGATTGAATGCTTACTTTCCTTGGGCCACCGAAAATAAGCCTTCAAGGAAAACTAAATGAATACAAAGCAGAAATAGAATGAAACTCGTTTTTGCACTTGTAAGGCAGATGGTGGCAGCACAGAGCTAAATGTCCGGTCCTATTTTAATTGTGATCTAGGACCTCATATCCCCAAAGTTTGAGGCCAGCCCGGCAACTTAGCCCTGACCTGGAGAGACCCTGTTTGAAAACAAAAAATAAAAAGACCGGAGATGTAGTTCAGTGTGAAGGCTATGGATTCAACCACCAGTACCAGAGAAAAATGCAGGCATTCAGCACGTGGAGCAAGGCAATGCACTCCATGCCACTAGCCCAGCGTTAGCACCAGCGTCCCTGCTAATGACTCGGCAACAAGTGAGAGTCCCTCTACACATGCCCCACAGATTGAATGCTTACTTTCCTTGGGCCACCGAAAATAAGCCTTCAAGGAAAACTAAATGAATACAAAGCAGAAATAGAATGAAACTCGTTTATTAATCAAAATACCATACAAACAAAAATGGAGAGGACAATATCAGCATGGTCCAACTCTTTGAGTCAACAAGAACGAAAACGCCAACGGTGATAATAAAACAAAACATGAGGGACAATAAGCTCATCAATAAGAAAATTACCTCAAATTGATGGAGGGTGACCAAAACTAGACATAAAGTAAAACTCACTGTCATATGCTTTCATTTCTATCAACAAAGAAAACAAGTTACACTGTGCGACTATATATTGGAAGCCGGCCCACATGCTAATGTATTTCATTTAAGGGTCACAGTACGTATGTGATGGATACCTTCTGCTGTTCTTCTTGGTACCTGTGAGTTGACCTTCTGTCTCTTAAATTGTCTGCATGTCAAAAGTGGACCCCGTTAAAAAAGGTGAAATGATGCCCAAGTAAAGAGCCACAACCACACAGAAGCAGGTGGTGCTGTTGGGTGCTGGGGCAGGGGTCAAGCAACTTTGTGGTCACTAATGTTCAGGAAGCATTTCCGTGTTGCTCAAAGGAGCTCATGAGACTGAAGCAAGGTGAGCCGGTGCATTTCCGTCACAGGCCAGGTCTTTATTGGTGAAAATGATGCATAGCGACAGAGCAATTGGGAATGTCTATGTATGTCTCCATTTATATGGCTCTCAATTGTCCCTACATTGTGGCTGCCTGGCTGGTGACAAAAAGAACTTTCACTGCAATGCTTAAACAAGTTTTGCCAAGGCCAGCCGAGAAAATGAAATCAAGAACAGTGGCACTAGTAGGTGAGTACTCTAGAGTTTATATGTCTTGGCGGGTGGGTTTTACATGTAGCCAAATTGCAAAAGCTCTTGATGGAAATGAGAGCAAGTGAAACTGCCCTTGAAGGACAGTGCACTCCTGCAGAGCAGGCTCTTATGATTTCTCACTTCCTGTAGTATCCTTTTCCCTGGATGTATTATTACCAAGAAATTCTTCCCGAAAGTGAGCAGCTTGGTGGGAAGTAAGTTCTGTTTTTTTTATGAAGCCTTTGGAACAGAGGCTACACTTGTACGGCTTCTCCCCTGTGTGGTTTCTTCTATGTATCATCAGGTTTGACCTGTACCTATAGCTTTTCTGACAATATTCACAGATATATGGTCTCTCTCCAGTGTGTGTTCTCTGGTGCTGCAGGAGAGATGACCTCCGATTAAAGAAGTTTCCACAGGTCAGGCACTGATGCTTCTTTCCCTCACTGTGAATTTTCCTGTGCTCTGTCAGGCTGGACAAAAGTGTAAAGTTCTGCCTACACACAGGGCATTGATAGGATTGTATTTGAAGATGTTTTCTCTCATGCTCTATAAGGTGAGACAGCTGAGTGAATTGCATGCTGCACTGGGCGAACTGGAAGGGTCTCTCGTTTGTGTGACTATACTGGTGTGCATCAAGGTCTGCCCAGTGAAGGAACCCTTTCCCACATATGTGACAATTGTAACCTAGCTCTCCTGTTTGAGGGTTACAAGGAAGTAGTTTGTTACTGACAAACTGTTGCCCATACTGAGGGTAACAAGAATTTGTTGTGTTAGGCTTTTGCTGGTTGTCCCTAGGTTTCAGAGGCAACTTGTTTGAACTTGGGGATGCCCATACTAGATAGGGCATCTGGATAGTCACAGACTCTGTACCAACACTGGGTAGCTCTTCTGAGGATGTTTTCTGTGGAACCTCCAGATGTTCACAGTCGTTCGGTAAGTTATGACCATGCAGGGTATTCCTGTCTAAAGAAGGAAAAATTGTACTCAGTCTCTCCAGTTTTTCTGCTCTGATATATTTGCTTCCTTTTCCCTCTAAACCCAGGAGAAGAAATAAAAATTATAATTTTCATTGTGTATCTGGGAAAGCAGAGGCAGTGGAAATAAGAATCGTTGTACCCCAAGCCTAGGGAGATGTGGGGACACCCCAGTACCTTCCCACACCCTTTTCCTTGAGGTGGGCTGCATTTTTCTCTGCCTTCTTCCTGGGCACTCTGCAAACCATCACCTACCTCTGTTGGAGTCAGATGATTGTTCCAAGCTCGTGGAATCCCACACTTCCTCTGTGTACAGGTCCAGTCCACACTCCAGTGGACAGCTCCAGTCAGGCTGTGGTATTGCGCGTCCTGGCCATAGGGAAGATGGGAGGAAGAGAGTTGAAGTGAGCACAGAAAGGTTTGCCAGAGTTCAGGCTGCTTTCTTGGACATGCCCCTCTCTGTATGCTTCCTTCCCAGTCAGGTTTTCTTCCTTTGGAGTCCCTATCAAATGGTGTTGCTTCTTGTTCTTTTGTTTGTTTGTTTGTTTATCAAGAACAAAAGCCAAGTGAAGGAAAGAGTGCACTTTGTTCAATCCAAGGCTATTCTCTAAGCTGGGGAGAGGGAATTCAAACTCAGGGTAAAGTCAATGAACTGAAAACAGTTTCATGTGTATTTTCAGAATAGAATTATTCAGTTGAGTCAAAATTCAAAGTAAATCTTCTTAAAACATTGGCATAAGCAAGCTGAGAAACACTCTTTTATTCATTGCTGAAGGACAGAGACAGAGGAAGATGCAAAGCTGAGTGTTGGGAAATTGCTTATTACAATAATGCCCATGAGAACTACTCAGATGAAAAGGATTGCTGAAGTGAATTGGTCGGTATCCAGTTCAAACTATCACTGTGTGTTTGTTTCAGTTGACATCTACAGGAGGTCCTCTGAAAAATAACCCAAACAAATACCAAACTGTGCTTCAGAATCTCAATCTAGCAACAACTATATAAAATGTCTCCCACTGGCTCTCCCCCAGTGTATGAATACCCTCCTTCATGATTAGCCTCCTCTCATCTGTGCCCCTTTCTCTGTCTCCTCAATGCCAGTCAAATGTCCTGTTCTGCAATAGAATGTGGCTTAGAAAGGGGTTTTTCAGTAGCATTATTAAGATGGTACAAACAAAACTGGTTTGGCTAGCGTGATTCCAAAGGGAAATTTAAATTTCAGAGGTAGTGACATAGCTTAGTTTGCAGTTTCATGAGGGAAAGATCATGTGTTTCAGATTCAGAAAAATGAAACATTTCAAGTAATGTGCCACTTTAATTCACAGATTTCTTTATACTTGGATTTCAAAACTCAGGGCAATATCAGAGTAAATGAGGAACAGCTCAAATAAGCCTGGAAGCCACAGATCAAAGGGAAACAGCAATGATGGGAAAAGGGGAGCACAGAGAACTTAATGCATGTAGCCGCTACTTTCTAGATAACCGCACACCTTCTCTTTACACTCACCAATTTGTATTCCATACAACCCATGCAAGTTAAAGCCAGTAGCTACACCCCTTGGCCCACCCCTCCTTTTCTGGCCTCAGTTCCCATCCTCTATTCTTTTACCATGAACAAAATGCCACTGCTAATTTTGAGTGAATGCAACACTTACTGAACAGGTTTTCACTAGTCTCAGCAGTAATTCTACATGCTAAAGTGTCCAGGATAGATATGACTCCTATCACAAGTCAATGATCAAACCATGTGACGAGATGCAAAGCAGTTGAAGGTAAGCAGAAACTAGACCTCTAAGAAGTTGTGGTGGGAAAATATGTGAGCACAAGGGTTTGGAAGGACATGTGGTCATAATGTCAGAGAGTGCTTAATCAGCTGCTATTTTGGGAAGGGGTTGATTAGTTAAGCTTGAGATTCAGAAACCTCTACAGATTGTGAGCCAAATAACCTTGCTTCCTGTAACTTTGGGTGTCAAGTTTTTGTCTCAGCAACAAGAAAAGTAGTTAAGACAAGTTCCAAACAGAAATGCAGGACATAAAAATTCTACCAAAAATATGAGCGTTAGAAGTTTCCAGTGTAAGGACAGAAAGTCAGAAGTGGAAAGACAGCTGCTACTGAAGACCAGTGATCCAAAGATACCTCAAAAACAGCAAAAGAACATGGAAAATGGATTGAACTGTACTTCATGTGCAAAGAAAGACTAATCTAAGATTAATTGGAATTAGTGAAAAATCATAAGCAACACAAATGGCATAAATCCTGTTTACTGAAATAATAACAGAAAAGTTTGCAAATATAGGAAAAAATTAAACATACAGATAGTTAAGGCATACAGAACCCCAAATAGTCACAATAAAAAAGAGCCTCTGTACAACACACCAAGGTCAAAATCCCAGAAGTTCAACACAGGGACAGAAACTTAAAAGCTATTAGAGAATAGCAACAAATCACTATGAAGCAAAATGAACTAGAATTATAGCAGTCTTCACAATGCAAATATTAAAGGCCAGGAGAGCTCTGAGTGAAGTGTTACAGCCATAACTCTAAATAACTCACAACCCAGACTCGTATATCCTGATACACTATCTTTGAAAATTGATGAAGATATGATAAAGAGCACTCTTTATGATAAAGATGATAAAAAAATTCATGACCACCAACCAGCACTCAAAAGAATTCTCAAGGATATCCTAGAAAATGAAGTTAACAATGCCAAAAGGTCAATGGTATGGTGAGCAGTTAAGCAGAAGTGAAAGAAAGAGAATCAGCAAAAGGGACCATAAGGCAACAACAGTGTTATGGCTTGTATCTAGATCTCCCTCGAAAGCTTCATGTGTGCATAGGTGGGGCTTTGGGGAGTGACTGGATCATGTGTATGTGGTACTCAATCATGGATGTATGATACTGTATTAGTCTACTGATTGATTTAGCATAGTTCTGCGTGCAGATAATGGATTTACTGAAGAAGGAAGATCTACTCTGGTTGTGGGTGGCATAAACCAATAGGTTTATAGCCTGGATGGAATACAAAGGAATAAAAGAAGGAAGTCCCACTGCTTCCTGCTTGCTATGCCCTGAGCTCTTTGTCTTCTGCCATAACCCTCTGCCATGCTACCCTGCCTTGGAGCCAGCTGACTATAGACTGAAACTGAGACAGGAGATTAGGGCATGGCAAAAGCTGGCTGAGGAAGTAGGCATAACTTGTTAAATACAAGATCCTGGACACATGCACAACTCTCAAGAACTCAAGCAGATTCTCAATAGGATGCCCTAGACCTGACGTCCGCCTGAGGCATAGGATCTCAGCACCCCTCTCAAGACTCGAATGTAGAAGTTCTTGTGGGGTTTCCTTGAGATTTAGACAGTATAAATGCAAGGTAGTCATGAGGAGTGGGGCTATCATAACTTTCCATGATAGCCCACACTGCATAACTTTTATCTTTGCTTTCTGTCCTTCTATTTACTTGGTCCAAGCTCACTCTGCAAAGCCAGTTTCTCTCCCACTCTTCATTTTTGCTTTATTGAATGAACTTTGCCACATTTTTGTCTCGTTTTGTTTAATTCTTTGTGAAAAGAATGTGGAATGAAACTCTAGAAGAAGATGTGAGCAATCCAGACCCCAGCAATGTTTAGTTGGTAAGCCAGTTTTTAGAAACAAGCTGATAACAAAACCTCTACAAACAGTGAACCAAAATAAACCTTTGCTCTTTTAACTTGTGGGTGTGAGATATTCTGTATCAACAATGAGCAAAGTAACTAAGACAGCTTTTGGTATAAGGAATGAAGCTGTTGCTATGACTCTCCCTGGCCATGTGGTTCAGAAACCTTTGGAATGGGTTTGTGGAGGTGTTTGGAAAGGTTTTGAGATCAAGGCTTAAGAAGCAACCCTAGAATGTTGTAAGAATACCTCGATGAGAAATTCTGGTTAGAGCTCAGAAAACCAAAAAGCTCTAGAAATGCAGTCAGTAAAAATTAGGCTCAGTTGGTTTCAGGTGGGAAGAAAGACTCAATTGGTACCTGGTCTCCTGGCCATGCCAAACCAGCAGTCCAATTTATTTTTAATGCTTTGGCAGAAAATTTGTCTGAATTTTGCTCATGTCCAGAGATATTATGGAAGAATGAAAATAAGGGCAGTGGACTAACTAATCTGGGAAGAAATTTCAAGGCAGTGTAATGTTGAGGCTGTGGCATGGCTACTGTTAGGGGCTTTAGTTAACTGTATCTTAAGAATCAAGAGGCAGGATATACGATGTACAGGTGCAAATTCCCTATGATAAATGTTATCATTATGTATATCTGAAATGTACCAATAGATGTTTTGCTTTAAAAAAAAGAATCAAGAGCGAATGACCCATTGGAAAAGTTTTTAGTTTGGCTAGAAAGGAAAATCTGTTGAATTTACTGCTTGCAATGATGGATCAGAGGAGAACTTGGTTGCTAAAAAAATTAGCATTAGAAAGCCAAGTACAGCCAGGCCTGGTGGTTCGCACCTGTAATCTCAGCACTTGGGAGGCTGAGGCAGGAGGATTGCCATGTGTTTGAGGCCAGCCTGGACTACATAGCGAGTTCAAAGCCAGTCTGAGCTGCATATTGAGACTGTTTCCAAAAAAAATACCTTACCCTTTGCAGCCTCAAAATTGCAAACATGAAAGACTTTGCTTTGAGAAGAGAGCTCCAGGGAAACATGATCCAGAGTGGTGGCAGCCTAGAGAATTTGGTTCTCAAAACTGAGTTCATACAACTCAACAATCCAGGCAGTTGACTCTTACATCCAAGAGAGAAGGAACCCTACCTACTGCTGTAGTTGATGGCAAACACTGGTGTCATCCACATGGAGCTGGTTTTAGGTGCATTGTGGGTCAGGAAGGCTTTCACTCAGATTTCAGAAGAAAGCCTGGGAGGCCTGGCACTGTGCCTGTGAGAGCATTATGTAAAGCTATGAATATAAAGGCAAAAATTCAGTGGAGATTCCCTAAGTTTGGAGAAGCCAGCATGGTGGATTTTGGTCTTGCTTTGTTCCCATTCCTGGACATAAAAGATCAGATAGACATCAACACAACTATAGTGAGTGACCTCAACCCCACTGTTACAAAAAGATAAATCTAACCAAAAAATCAGCAAAGAAATCCCTGCATTGAACAAAACCCCAAACAAATGTACTTAATAGCTATCTTAGAGCATTATAGCTAACAACAACAAGAAGAGACACATTTTTCTCAGCAGCACCTGGAACTTTCTCCAAAGTAGACCATATCCAATAAAGCAAACTTAAGTAAACGCCAAAGAACCGACATTATACCGTGCATATTAGGACAATAGTAATCAATGGCAAAAGAAAACACAGAAATTACGCACACCCTTGGAAATTAAA